AAGCTTTTAAACGGTTTTTCATATGAAGCATTTAAACGGTTAATGGACTCGACATGAAGAGAAAACTAGCTTAGATTTTGAAATGTTTCTTTTTAGAAAAACAAGAAGCCAGTTACTCCTGAGGAGGCGGCAGTTTGACGACCAAAACCGGCGATAACGAGGCCGATATCAGCATTAACCAGTAACTAGTAGCGGAAGCAAGCGGAAGCCGCAACGTTTCAGAGGGTTAAACTTCGAAAAAGAATACAAGACTACCGTTAACTAACTGTTAGTATGAAAATAACTTGCGTGTTACTGTTTGGATAATTAAAAGCGCTATGCTTTGTACCGGGTTTTAAAACTCCGTATGGTTTTTTTTCACGTATGAGCTCCGGGTTAGCCGTGTGGAGGGAGTGTAGCCCAGAAACTATAAATACATTCTACGTTAGACTGGAGGACAGAAAGTTATGTGAATACCGTGTGAAATCATACTTAAACATGTTATGCTTTCATTTTAAAAATTACATGCGAGAAGCTTTACAATATCAGATAAGCTTAAAAAATATATTTAAAATATGAAATATATATTCTGTTACGTTGTCTAGGTACAGTATACCCCCTACAAAAATACAAACTACGTTAGAGTGAAATGTTTTAGACCGAGTTACAGGACAACATGAATGTCCTTTGAAAGGTGGATGTCCATAAACATTTTAAAATTAAAAACGCCCAAAAATCTTGTTTCTTTAATCTGATCTTAGTCTTTTTCTTTAAAGCTTTGCCCATGAAGCAGAAAATGGAAACGTCCTGGGCTCCCGGTCCACCATCCCTGCTCAGTTTATCTGGATTTGGGCCTTTAGCCCCACCTGCTGACTGCTTTCCCTCCAAATTAAACCAGCGGAGGGGAACAGGTGAGACTCCTCAGCAGCCTCAGACCCTGAAGGCTTCACTGTGGAGGCCTCTGAGTCTTTTAAGGACGTTTTTTTAGAAAAACAAGAATAAAACAGGGCTAGAAAGTCTTCTTTTTTTGGAACAAAGCGTAAACTTTGTCTTCATTTGTGGTGTTTGAGTGCTGAACAGCACATTTATGCAGACTGGCTGTGCTGGAGTTTAATGAAAGCTTTAGTCTGACAGGTTAATCAAACAGGGGTTTTAACAAAGTAGGGAAAAGTGGAGAGATGCTAAACAACACCTTAAAACTAATTAAACAAAAAATAAAATCTCTCTAAAACATTTATTCTGTGGCAGCTGGAAGTCGTTTAACGTCATTTAGAGATAATAATCAGAAGGGCTCCTGAAACAAAGGGGAAATAATACCACCAGGTTTGTGTTTTACAGCCTGAAATCTGCTTCCAGTAAAAGGAAGGAGGGATTTTACAGAATGTGGCACGTTTTAGACTTTCTTTTCTCCTTATTTTGTGTGGATCCCAGTTCAGAGGCTGGATCTGACAGTGTTTTGTCTGTGAGGCGTGTTTGTAACATGAGCTCCTGGTTATACTGGTCCTACCTGTTCTGGCTCCATCACTGGTGAATTTCCTGGTTATCGGAAACAAAGTCGGGTCACAAGAGGAGACGCAGCAGCTCTGTCAGAAGAAACTGTAAGTTTGAACTTTCCTGTCTGTTTATTTAATTATGTTGGTGAACATGTTCACTCCCGGTTTATATTTATATTTCTATATTTTATATTTGATCCTGTTTCCTGGGTTTTCTTTTAGTTCGTTTTTTCCGTGTTGTTTAGACTTTTTAGTGTTTTGTTCAAAGGGCTCAAACCCTGTGGTCGAATGTCTGACTTTATTTCCTGCTAAAACCTTCTAACAGCGAACACAAAATCCCTCTGAAACTTTTGGGAGTGGTGGCCGTCTGCCGCTGAGATGCTTTCACTTTCAGTGTGATGTAACCATCATGCCGTTTGCCTCCATCTGCTGGACTGAGAGCAGAACAGCAGCAGATCAGAACTAGAGAATCAGACAATCAGGGGAGGAGCAGGAGGCTTTAAGCTGCTGTTTCCTCTGCAGGTGGAGGCTCAAAGGGTCTGAGCTGCTGTTTCCTCTGCAGGTGGAGGCTCAAAGGGTCTGAGCTGCTGGGAACTCTGCAGAATGGATCAGCCTGAGGACCCTGAAAACACTCCCAGTGGGGAACCCGAGAGCCAGAGCAGAGCTCAGGGGTGAGAGGACCATCTTCATCTTAGTCCAGAACTCTGCACCATGTCAGGGCCCACAGACTGAACCAGCTTCATTCACAGGAACCAGCCAGGACCTGAAACCAAACCAGGGCCAGGATTTGAAACCAAACCAGGAACAGAGACTAAACCAGAACCAGGACCCAGCTGTGTGTCTTTTAAGAGCGACCGGTCAAAGGAGGCTTTTTGGAGCTTCAAACAGCATGTCCCATCAGACAAACAGTGAGTTCAGTTGAAGTTGCACCCTATTTATGATGGATTTTCTGATATCTGGGTTTATCCACAGGGACCAGCCAGGACAAGGAACAGGGCTGAAACCAAGACCTGAACCAGCACCCAGCTGTGTGTCTTTTAAGAGCGACCAGTCAAAGGAGGCTTTTTGGACCTTCAGACAGCATGACCCATCAGACAAACCGTGAGTTCCGTTAAAGCTTCATCCTGTTCCTGATGGGTTTTCTTTTTTTTTCTTAATTCAAATTTTTATTGATTTTCTGAATATTATCTCACATAAAACACAAATACAAAACAAAAAAACAACCCCCCCCCCCCCCCCCACCCACCCTACAGTCATATATTATATGTATGTTACAGTGTCAATTCAACAACATTAAGTAGTTGAGAGAAAGGTAATTGTCCGGGAAAATCAGACTTCATCCAGGTACATTACTCGAAGCCATAGTTCTTTTCAATGAGTCCCAAAAGCTATCCCAGTCCATGTCCCCGTTCCCATCCATGTTGTTGAGCATGACTTCATAAGAAGCCGTATCCGTCATTGATTTAATCCACTCATTTAGCTCGGGACACTTTGTGGTCTTCCATTGTCTTAAGATGATCCTGCAGGCTGTCACCAGACCGACCATCACAACTGCAAAAGCTCCTTTTGGGGTGTTTGGCATTTGAGATCGGTCTCCCAGTAAACACAGTTCTGGAGTCTGAGGGATCTCTGAGCCAAGCCATGCACTCAGAGCCTCCAAGATTTTAATCCAAAATGGTGAAACCAGAGAGCAGTCCCAAAAACAATGCAAATATGTGCCCACTCCTTTCTTACATTTCCAACACCTATTGTTTGACATTATTTTCATTCTATGTAACCTCGTAAGTGTATGATAATATCTATTTAGCACCTTATACTGTATAAATTTACTTCTGGCCTCTTTCACATATTTACCACTCTCTGACAGTACCCTCAACCATCCTTCTTTTGTATACTCTTTTCTCAAATCTTTCTGCCATAGAAGTTTAATACTCGACGATTCACTACTCAGATTATAATTTAGCACCTTATAAAAATGAGAGGCAGTGTGTCGTTCACGCGGCATCTTAATATAATTCAATATATCATTTTCTACGATCTTTTTAAATTTTGAGGTAACACAATGTCTCATCTGTAGATATTTCCAGAAATTTGCTTTACCTTCCAAATTAAATAAGTAAGTTCAGTGAAGGACAGGAATTGTCCATCTTTGTACAAATCACCAATGACGCATATACCACGTGAATGCCACTGCCTCCAGAACACAGGTGTTTTACCAATACATATCTCAGGATTATTCCAGAGAGATGCATACTGCTCTACCTGATGTGGGAGCTTTAACAGTTTGTGTACCTTTGACCAAACATTACAAGAATGAACATAAACTGGGTTTGTTGTGTCGATCTTTTGAGATAATTTGTGTTTAGGGTCAAACGTCAAACATATATCCCTTTCAATATGTAACCATTCCTGCCCATTCTCACCATCCCAATGTTTAACTAATTTTGCCATTTCAAATGACAAGCAATAAAGCTTAAGATCTGGAAGTTCTAGGCCGCCCTTTTCCTTAGGAGCATATCATTTTTCTAATTTTATTCTCGCTCTTTTATCGTCCCACAAAAAATGTTTAATTACATTTTCATACCTTTTAAAAATATCAGGTGGAATTGTAATAGGAAGCATCATAAGCACATAATTAAACTGAGGGGCGGTAATAATTTTTATAACATTAATCTTACCCCATAATGTTAGTTTTATCTTCCCCCACTTTTCAAAATTTGTTTTAATTTTTGAGAGCACCGGATCAAAATTTAGTGAAGGTAACGCTTCCAACTCCCTACTGAGCCTAATCCCAAGATACTTCATACCTTCAGGTACCCATTTGAATTTAAAATCTTTAACCATGTGTGAATTGCATAAAGAGGATGAAACCGTTGAATACATCTGCATAGTGTCCATCAGGTGCGGCAAAGATGTAAGCGGATGTGTTATAAGTGATAAAATATCGTCTGCATATAAAAGCAGTTTGTTTTCTTGTTGTCCCCATAATATTCCTTTGATGTCCTTATTTATCCTAATGCTCACTGCTAAAGTTTCAATAAACATGATGAATAATAATGGACTGAGAGAACAACCCTGACGGGTCCCACGTGATAAGTTAACTCATTCGCTGCCAAAGACGTCTATAGACGTCTTTTATGTTTTTCAATGCGAGTGGCTTGGGGGACGATCGGCGAAAGTTTTTCCGTAAATATGGGCTTCTAGACAGAGTATGGACTAACAAATTGACCCTCTAGGTAGCTGTGCCACTTTTGATGGGAGATTAGCATAGATTGTAAGCAAATAAAAACAAACGCAATGGTTCGCTATTAGAGAAATGGCGCCGGTGAGACGCACGTCGAAGAAGAACGGAATAAGGTAGAAACAAAATCTTTTTTCCTGATGAAAGAAGAGAGTCTACTCTTTCTTTTGGTGTGTTCGGTGTTAACATAGTCATAGCACAAACTATTCTGTGGCTCTTGAAAAATCAGTCAAAATTCTCAAAAAACTCTGGCAGTGAGCGACTCTCTGTTCTGAAAATGGCTGGCAGTCAATGAGTTAAAATCTTTTTTTAATTTTTAATAAATATTCCCCATTAATTGTCGCCCCTCAGTGGTGAACGGCTCCCCTGGTTTCATCAACCTGTGCGACGCTCTGAATGCGTGGCAGCTGGTCCGAGAGCTGCGGCGCGCCCTGGGCCTGGCCGCCGCCGCCTCCTTCAAGCACGTCAGCCCCGCCGGTAAGACGCCGCCGCCGGAGAGCGCCGCGGCTGAGATCGGCCTTTAAAATCCGGATACGCTCTCCCCTCTTCCTCCGCAGGAGCTGCTGTGGGAGTTCCCCTGTCCGAGGAGG